TGAAAAATAAGGCTGGACATTACACTCGCTACACTCAAATGAGATAACGGCGACCAGAAGTTTCTTGATCGGCCAAAATCTCCTTATAGTGGGCAGACGTGCAAATGTTGTGCAATTATTGTGCAGTGTTGTTTATGCTTTTTGGATATAGTGTGTAAAATTCTTTCAATAGCATAAATATCTCAAAAAAATTGGATATGCTGTGTTGATTGAAGTGTAACTTAGGCTTACTCTTTTTGGAGATCATTTTTTGTATGCTATTGTTAGGAAATCTATTTTTGTGTGGAGATGAATACTATACTATACTATTGGCTTGGAGTTGAGCTGAAGAGTCGTGGTTAAGGATGAGCTACGTTTTTTTAATGTTCTATTAGTGCTTTTAAAAAACATGTTAGTATAAACATATATTGGTTTGTATAAATGATGATCGGATGAGGTCTCGATAGATGTCCAAGAGGTTATACACAACCATATGCTAGCTGGGACCTTATATAGGAGTAGTTTTGAGACAGTCCAAAAGAAGCATTCGTTTGCATGTGCTTTTTGGATAGATGATCATGGTCCTATATAAAAATGTAGTTTTTGAACAATCTTTTAATTGGGTCCAATTTATATTTCTAAAAAATAGCAGCATCAATGTGTCAGTTTAAGTACAATAATATGAAAATAATAGCATTAGTCAATATATCATCAAATTTCATGCTTCAACTTTTGAATACCAGAATAATTTGATCATCATCAATAGTAAAGAGGTGCCAAAGCTTCATGATGGAACTTCAATCAGATGCCTGACTCGAGAAAAAGAAGAAAAAACAATGAAGTCTCTCTATGAGGAGAGAAGGAATAATTAAAGAGCTTCAAAGAGAGAAAAAAAGTGAAAAGAAGAAGAAGAAGATCTAACTTTGAATAGCTGGTATGAAATTTTCCCTAAAAAGAGGTCCAAAAGAAAAATGAAAAATAGGGGATGTGGTGTGTACACAAGGGACGAAATTTGTGAACAGTCTCTTGAGAGACTCTTTTCATGATAAATTTTAGAATATATGGTCATTGAAATTTTGTTATTTTACTTGAAATTTCAACACATTCTATAACGAGGAAATTTCTCCCAATAGACACGAGGAAATGAATTGTTTCCACCTTTTTTGAATTCTTCATAATGCATTTTTCGATTTTTTTTNAATTTTTTTTTTTATTTTTTTATAATTCTTTTACTTATTTTTTTTTTTTTTTTTGACAAACATGCACTTGTCTCTTCAAAAGTGTTCTCAAATTCTCTCTCTTTCTCCCTTTTGCAAATTTTGAACAATCTAAGCATTCTCGTCAAATTAGGCAAAGTTGACGAAAATATCTAGATCATACAACCTCTCTTCATTTTGCAATAATTTTAAGCAATCTTTTGCACTAATTCAAGTCTATACTAACATGTATCTTAACAACCCAACTACAATAGAACATGAAAAAAATCTAGCTCCTCCTTGGCCAAAAATTTCTTGTTCGACTCCAAACCAGTAGTACAAGATTCATCTCCATACTAAAACAGATTTCTTAACAACAGCATATAAAAAATGATCTGCCAAAGAGCAAAGCTAATTTATACTTCAATCAAAACAACATATTGACATGCAAGGAACTTATTTAACTGCCAAAAAATGAAAAAAATAATTAACATTTCCCAATAGATTATGAAAAACTCTAACAAAGTATTTGCATTCAAACAGTAGAGATTACTGATTGTTCAAATAAACAGACAGCTGTTAGAGTATTCAATTCTTGACTATCCCTATTCAGCAGTTCTACTGTCAATTTTATCATGTCCGGCCTTTCGACCCGCTGAAACTACATGATATATCCAATTTTTTTGAGATATATATGCTACTAGAAGAATTTTACACACTGTTATATATCCAAAAAGCTTAAAATGTGATGTTAAACCACCGTTTTACACCAAGAAACCGGGCTCAGAAAACCTCCAATCAAACACCACAAGAGAAAACCCAAACACACAACCAACACAAACGGTTGCTCCACCTAGTTCTACCCACACAGGAAGTTCGAAGAGGAGGAGGGAGAGCCTACTAACCACAGGGTAGCCACAAAGGCAAAA